TAACCTATCCAGCATGTACTGAAGCTCGTTGGGATGATTGGCAGTGAGGCAAAGGTCATCCGCACACAACCTATGTGTTATTAGGAAATCCCCAGCACCAGTAGCTGCACCGCTAACGTGCTATGCCAAGCTGCCAACATCATTAATATAAAAGGGAAATAGCAGAGGAGACAATGGACAGGCTTGCTTAATCCCTAGTTGAGCTCAATGAACATGAGCTCTCTTACATCCATCCACCAACACCTATTCATCATTGTTACAAATGTTTCTCAAAATATTCAGGAGGCAAGATGGCATGCGAATGCTTTAAAAATGAGTCCATAAAGCATCCCCGGGCATTGTACCATAAGCTTGCTTGAAATCAATGAAGGCTGCATGCAACCTCGGTGAGGAAGGAGGGCGCTTAGAAAGTGCTGATCTGTGCCGCATGCTGCAGATGACTCAAAAAATATATTGGCCACAGGGTGTTACGGCCTGGGTAAAAAACATTTTGTGTATCTGGGATTTTGTTGTTATCCCTGCACCACCTTGTAACAACATCCTTAAGTACATTAACGTGCATTCCATACATGATGTCGCTCACAGCAAGCATGCGATAGCTTGCTGGGTCTAGCAGAGAGCCCTTTTTATGTGGGGGAGTAAGCTTTGCTGCTTTCCAACATGTAGGAATTTCAGCCTTATCCATCACGGCAGCAAACAAGCGAGCACCATATGGCGCCACAACGTTGATCCTGTCTTTACCTCTACCATTTACTGCCGGGGCTCTCCTTTCAGCACACTTAAGAAAGGGTTTGGCAGCCGTTGCACCAAAACCAGGGGAGGCCCTAGGACTTAAGCTTAGCATGTGATGACAGACTGTAGGATACACTGCAGCTGCATCCGACAATTCGATCTTATCAGGAGTTGGCGCCAACGTAGCCTTTGTGGTGGGGGGGTCATACGGCCTGCGCACCTATGTGGCCCCTTTTCCTTAATTGATGTAGGATGGGTTTCTCTGCCTACGTAGCTTTTCTTTTCTTTTCTTTCTAGCCTGACAACGCAAGGCACCATCCTAATTGTGTGTGCTTTTGGGGCAGCTACCCATGCCATGCATATGAACATCTGCTCCATTAGTTTGTGAAGAGCTGTCAAGGTGGGCACCAAAATGTCTGTATAGGTATGACCTCCAGCCTTCTGCAGTGACAGGGGTCTGCTGGTTTTTCTTGGGCTTCCTCAGCAACTCGTGTATGTCAGGGGTGTGCCTTTGGAGCCTGTCCAGAAACACAGCCTTCTTTACTTTCCATGAGTACGCTGAGCATGAGTGTTTAAGCGATTTTGATAAGGGACAGTTCATCAGCAAAAAGCACAAGAGTCACTGTAAATTTGGGATTTCCTATGAGTGCACCCTGCACTCCTTCAGCCACATTCTCAATGTCGTTTAGGCACGTTGAGAAAAGTGAGGGGGAGAGGGGGCATCCTTGTTTGACAAATGTTGGCTGCACGCTTGCTTTTTTGTCTCCATCCAGTAATATACATTCATTCGCGTGATATAGGCCTTGCAGGATGGACACAAAACAAAGGGATTACTATAGTATAGTGCACCGATTTAATTCCGCGGCGCATGTCCAACTGAGGCAGCAATGTGGCCCCTGGCGATATCCTGGTAGCAGGCTTCTGAAATCAGAACTTTGGACGCCTGATACGCAACTGAATCAGGGTCTGGAGCTGCAGGGTTCAAAGCCTTCCTGCAGTGCGAGGTGGGCACTGTGCAGCATGATGAGCGCATGCGGGGCAGCGTATTGGGCAAGCAGCGGTATGCTGTACAGCTCAGCATGGCAGAGGCAGCGGCAGCGGCACACGCAAGGTTCTGCGACAGCAGCGACGCAGCACAGGCAGTGATGGACCTGAAGAGGGCGCGCCTGCAGAATGAGCTTGTGAACCTGGCTATCCACACATTCATTCGCGTGATATAGGCCTTGCAGGATGGACACAAGGGTGCTATAGTATAGTAATACTCCATGAATCCCATGAGTCCCATGAATCAGGAGGGTTACTCATAACGTCCCATGCCAAGAGAGCAACAAAAGAAATAAAGTGCACGGACTATGTGCCTGCTGCCAGAAACCCACCAGATCCACATTGATTCTCCCCTTGTCATTTAGTGAGGGGGACCGGATCGAGTCCTTGCGGCCAGGGTTTATAATTGGTCCTCTATTGGTGGGAGTCAATGGGGGCTCTTTCCTCAATGCGTGCGGCCGAATGACAAGCGTTAATCTTTCTCCTTTTTCTTTGAGGAGACTGACGGCTTTTTGGACCAATGTTTCTCCTTCTTTCTATATTGATGGTAGAATATATAAGTCTTCGCAGGCCAGGGGCTGCATGCATTAAGGAGAGGCTTCCTAACAAGTAAGCTAGTAGGGGCCTCACCAAAGGGCCCACAAAACCCAAAATTACATTACATTAAACACAGCCTGTTTGAGAACAAAAAAAGGTTACGATGGTATACAAGCTTTCAGCCAAAAAGTTTGGCTGCTCAGCTCTCTCTGAGATCGAGATCCAAACTAGAGCTAGATGACGTAGAGAGGGACCTCTGCCTGCATAGATTCTCTTCTTCTTGCCTTCAAAAAAAAAATAGTGGAAAGATCACCATGGGTTATCATGATCACCCTATCTATCCCACCTGCCCTGAACCCTGGAGGAAAAACCTGGAGGAAAAACAAAACAGAAACAACGTAGGCAGTGAAAAACCTTCACATCAATTAAGGGAAGGGGGCCATATTGTTGCAAAGACCGTACGACCCACCCACCACAAAGTTCAGAAATCTCCATCCCAGAGAATTTTAAGTCCAGACTGGACACGACCAGCGAGCATTGAGGAAGAACCCAACAGTCAGCACTGACACTAACAGTGAAAGTGCGTGCAGTGAGAGCCCGGGACTTCCTTCATTCCCTTCCTTTTTCTTCCTGAGCTTTCTGATTAAACTAGCAGAGGCCCTCCTGGGGAGTAGCTACTTCCTTGGGCAGTGTAAACAAC